CCCAGCGGGCACCACCGGGTGCGGGCACGGCCGGGCGAGTCTGCGGCGGTCCCGGGGTGTGCCCGAAGCGCCCGGGGCCGTGCAAAATTCTCAGCGAGCTGCAGCGATGGCTCCTTGCCACCTGGTCCTGGTTTCGTCACCAAGGTTTCCCCCTCCTGGCACGCTGCTGCCCAGCAGCCCAGCCCACTCGGACACCAGTCGCCATTTTACCATCAGAATTTGGGGAGCAAATTTAGACCTTCTCCCAGGAAGGCAGTGGCTCTTTTCCTTCCTGAAAAACGGGAGCGCGATGAATTTGAGGGCAAGCGGGGGCTGACCCCCCAGCTGCCCGGCTGCAGTTTGGAGCGGGGTGTTTTGCATGGCCCTTTTTGCCCCCTGAGCCCCCCGCCCCCTCCCCAGAGAAGAGAGAGAAGAAGGAAGGAGTGTTTACGCACCATCGGACTTACCCCGAAATTGGAAGCAGCAAAGCGGTCGGAGGCTGAGACGTTGGTGGACGCCGTGGTGTGGGCGTAGTAAGGAGCTCTCCCAACCACTTGCTCTATTTTTCCCACGAGGGAGGGAGGCGTGCTCGGGTGCCGGGCGAGCTAGGGGAGCACGTCTGCGCCCGTGGCGGGGAGGCAGGTGCAAACAGCAGCAGGGGATGAAGGTGCTGGCGGTGACCCCCTCCACGCCGGGCTGCCACAGCCCCTTTGGGCAGGGTGGAGGGCGCGGGACTCACGTCATGGCCTGGTAGATGGACTCCACCCCATAGCGCATGGCAAACTCATCCACGATCTCCTGTGCCGTCTCGTCAAAGTACACCTTCCAGGCATCGTCCCCCTTGGCGTCGGGGATCTTCACCACCCCGTTGTTTTGCAAATCCGTCACAAAGTGGAACAGGTTCTGGAGGTACCAATGAGTCCCGTCAGGTCCCCAGGGCTGGCAGTGGCACAGTGGCATCGCTGGGGCGGGGGCCATGCCCCTCGCGCCTGCCTGGGCTGCTCACCTCGTGCAGGCATGTGTACTGGACATGGTAGGGAGCCACCTTCTCCTCGCCTTTGATCTCCACGCTGATGTGCAGCCGGATGGCTCCCGACACAGCCGACTTGTCTGTCCGCTTGTCTGCGGGCGTACAGGGAGGGGGACGAGAGGTGAGGCTTCCCCAGAGCAACTCTGCCTACTCCTGGCCCCAGAGAGGGGCAGGTGGCTCCAGCACCGACGGGCTCTTGGGGCCAGGACCCGGGGGACACCCAGCGCCCAATGCAGCCAGGCCAGGCACTGCAGAGGGGACCTGGCCACGTCTCCAGGCACTACAGAGACGTGGCTCCTCCATGCCCCGGTTTTCCCTCTCCAGAGGGCCAGTGCTCCAGACCTCCTGGGCCAAGGGTTTTGAGAATGACCCTGGGAAAACACTTGATCCCAATGGCTTTCGATATGCAGTGTTTTTAACACACCGGGGCTGGCAGCACGTCCCCCAGGAGCGCAGGGCCAGGGGTCCCAGCCCAAGCAGGCCATGCCAGGGCAGCCGGTTACCGAGGTTGTACCAGACGTCCATCTCCCCGCTCAGGGTCCGGACCTCGATGATCGTCTGGCCCAGGAAGTCATCAGACTCCCTCTTGAAGCGCTGCTTGACGCGGGACTTGATGTCATCGTCTTCGTCCCAGACGCGGACCTTGATGCGGTCAGAGGAGTTATGGCACTCGCTGGGGAGGCGAGAAGGGGCGAGCCCCGGGATGAGCAGGGGGGAAGCCTTTCCAGCCTCTCCCCAGCCTCTGTTTCCCTAAACAAGAGCGACCCTCCCAGCCCTGGGCAGCCA